GATGATATTTCAAGTATTCATGATCTTAAGCAATTTCTCAATCATAAGTTTGAGATGAAAGATCTTGGTGTTTTGAGTTATTTCTTGGGCCTTGAAGTCACCTTTTCTGATGATAGTTATCTTCTCTCTCAAACAAAATATGCTTCTGATCTTATATCTAAAGCTGGAGTCACTGACAGTAAGACTGCATCTACTCCTCTTGAGCCCAATGTTCGACTTACATCCATGGATGGTTCTCCATTAGTTGATCCTACTCGCTATAGACAGTTGGTTGGAAGCTTGATTTATCTCACTATAACACGACCAAACATAGCTTATGCAGTTCATGTTATTAGTCAGTTTATGGCTATGCCTCGTTCCACTCACTATGTAGTAGTACTTCACATTATTTGATATATTAAAGGTACCATGTTTCATGGACTTCACTTTTCTACTCATTCATCTCTTGAACTTTGTGCTTACTCTGATGCTGATTGGACTGGAGACTCTAATGATCATAAACCCACCACTAGATATTATCTTTTCCTTGGTGATTCCTTAATCTCTTGGCGTAGCAAGAAGCAGACAGTTTCATCACATTCTAACACAGAGGCTGAATATCGAGCACTTTGAGACACCACATCAGAGTTACTTAATTTGTGTTGGCTACTAAAAGATATAGGTGTTTCTCAACCACCTGCTACTAATCTTTATTGTAACAATTAGAGTGCCATGCAAATTGCTCATAATGATATTTTTCATGAACGCATTAAACACATTGAGGTTGACTGTTACTTTGTTCACCATCATGTTGCACAAGGAACTGTTCATTTGGTTTTTATTAGCTCTACTGATCAACCAACAGATCTTTTCACTAAGGCTCATTTTCCTAGACGCTTTCATACTCTTCTTTCCAAACTCAAGTTGATTTCATCACAATCACTTTGAGTTTAAGAGGATATGTTAAGATGTGAACACAATAATTTAAATTATATTCACATTTATTATAAATATTTTATATTTTAGAATATTCTCTTTATATATTTTATACCTTAAAATATTTTTTTTGTAAACACATATATATAAGTCATTGTACATACAATATCATTTAAAAAGTTAATAAATTTTTCTTCAAATATTTCTCATTCTTTTTCAATTTCTAACAGACATAGCAATGGCTGACAGAATTTTAACAAGTACATAATATTACCATTCATTTTGGATTTTTTTTATTTAAGTTAAAAAAATAAAAAATTAAAATTTTTATATTATAAATTAAGGGATTGATACTTTTATAGTCGATAAATTAAGAAGTTAAGATTTTTATATTGTAAGTTGAGGGTCCATACACTTAGTATAGGTGGGTGGCTCAGGATTTTCGCCGGTTGTCTGTCGTTTTCATTGTTTGGACGTTTGGAATTGAGCTGGAGACGTAGACGATTCCCTTCGCCACATCACATCTACCATTTTTTTTTTTAAATTTTAAACAAGTACAAATTGCAAGGAACGTGGAAATTTAAAACAATAATATATTGGCAAAAGTGTATTTTTAAAATTGACTATTAATCAATCGGTTCAAAAAGTTAGGAATACGTCACATCCACCATTTTGTTTTATACTATTATATAGGTTTTTACTTTCTTGACCTCCGTTTTATACGGTAATATCAAAATATTAAAACAAAAATAATATAATTATAATATTATATAATATTATATAAAATTAAAAATTTATTATTTATATTATTTATTTAAAAATGATTTATAATGCATTATATATTTATTTAATAATATATTATAATTTTAAATTTGTAATTTTAAATTATATTATAATTATATCATTGTTGATATTATTAAATACTCCTTATAAAAAATATATTAATACATGTTGTTAATGAGATCTCCATCATTGGCAATAATATTTTTTTTAAGGTTAGTTATATTTAAAAATATAATTTACTCTATAAATTTATTTAAATATCTTTAATAAATTTATTTTTTATATTATTTCATTAAAAATATTTAAATAAATTTATAACATAAACTATACTTTTAATATATGTTTGTCTTAAAAAACTTGAATCCCTTAATTTTTTTAAAGAAAATAATTGTCAAACTCGATAGTTATCAACATACTTATCAATACTTATTTGATTTAATTAGTAAAATATAATATAAATATAATCTAA